CACACACACACACACACACACACACACACACACACACACACACACACACACATATCTACTTATCATCGTGGACAGCCAGTATGATGATCATGTGTCATCCCCGAGCCAGCTTCGTTATTGATCACCAGATGTAATGTCCAGGAGATGCAGATGATGGCGCCACCCTCATTGATTACCAGTGACAGTTAAAAAGCATGGCATAATTCCCATCGATCGTCTGTGACAGTGTGTAAGAAATGGTGTCATCTACATTGATTAGCAATAAAAATATGTGGCAAAGATGTGTCATGGGTACACAGCAGAACAGCCCTCTCACACACACTTCTATCCGTCATTTGAATGTGTGGGGGCACACGTGCAAACGCACGTTTGAACGGAGCCCCGTGAAACTCACGAGGCTCAGCTTAAAAAATGAAAAAGCGTCAGTGGTGAATTGTACTGACATGCTGCAGAAATCAACTTACAGTCACTCTGTGTGAAAAAGAGAGCAGTCCTAAAGCTTTTCCCCACTGGTATCTCTGTAAAGTAGAGCGAAGCAGACAAATGAAAGGTTGAGTTCTAGTCTCAACACTTAGAGAAAGAAAAACATGATTTCTCCTCTTTTAACCTCACACGTCTGGAAATTGAACCTTGCCCCCCCTTTGGGGATTCATAGAGAGTTTCTGAGAGTTTAGACGTATTGTCTCACCCTAAAAATACTTAGTTAAACCTGAATAAACATATTACTATTATTTCCTTTAGCTGGCCGTAATTCACATTTCAACAGGGTTTCAACAGGGTCTCCAGTGCTGAAATATTATAGGAAATGTCCAACATCCAATCAGTCTGAAATCATACTCTGACACAGAGGCAGAACAGTCACTGTCACATGTGTCCACTGTTGACTGATTCCATATATATATATATATATATATATTCCAATATCACTGCACCAACATGATTTAATGAGCTTCTGCTGAGACAAAAGAGAAAATAACAATAGGCTAAAAAGTCTCAGCTCCACGCTCTATTTAATCATCTTTTCAGTAAAGGCTGGGCTGAATTCACTCTCTACCGCTCAGTTTGGTAAACTGGATGAGCACCGTGGTGGTTTACATCTCCTAAAACTGCTGAAGATCTACTGTTGTCTACGTCCTTATGAAGTAATTGTTGATTTCCCAATGTTGTGGCCATAGAATATTGACTGGTTTCCCTACAAGCCTTGCTTTCACTATGCAAATCTGTCTTCCACCAGGTACGAGTACCTGGGAAATGATGGCTCGATTTACAGCATAAAGGAAGGAGATAGGATTTGTGTCAGCTATCAGTAGCTATCCCGAATTACCAAAGTGTATTAACGTTAGTTCTTTGCAGTTACTATTCCCAGTAGCAGAAAAGGCAGACTGTGGAACAAACAAAATGCAGTGTGACCTGTGTTGTTGGTAGTTGCGAGGCCCGGAGGAAAACGGATAATAATACGGTTGTCTTTGCAACGACGGCATTAACAATGTTATCGTTGGATACGACACATGTAGATTAACCAAAAAGGCAATGTTGAACCTGGGCAACTTTTGCTGCAAAGCAAGACAACGCAACACCAACTGGCAACATTGTGTGTAGGCAAATATATGCTACAGTGCTAGTAGATTACTCTGTAACGTAAACAACGGGTATTATTAATTATTTTAAAAATGAATTGCTTTAATTTACCTTGCAAACTGATATCGAACTTTGGTTAATGGACACCTGCTAGCCACTAGGAGATATATACATACTTTCCAGAGCCGTTGTTTATGACAAAAGATTTAATTTGCAAGAAATACAATTTTGCAGAGTGACTCAAATGAGCTGGGTGATGCAGAGGCAATATTCTCCTGATCTGAGAAACAAAATCAGGTACATACAGTTATGTTCACATTGTGTTATTGAGGAGCCGTGCTTCTATTTCCCTCCAGTGGCAGACCTGAATGTTAAGTCATTATTCTTTACTTTAACTGAATCCATTTTGCTTTGTGAATCACACACTGTGCTATCCTGTACATTATTTCCCCCTCCTCTTTTTATTGCCCTCCAGGAACCCCTCGTTTTGTTCCATCCATCCATTCTTCACTCACCTCTTCCTTGATGGGTGGGCTCGATGTTTTTCCCTCCTCTCTCCCCCACTTTCCCTATCTGTTTGATTTATACGTCCACGGTGTGTTCTTCCCCTGCCACCTTGATGAGCGCTCACCCACACATGCGCACAAACAAATAGATGGATGAGCTGGTGATGGCTAAACCAGCCAGACTTCACTGTGAATTATAATCACCTTCAATCTGTGTCTCTGAATCCCTGCCCAGTTCTTATGCTCATGGGTGTGTGTGTGTGTTTGTGTGTGTGTGTGTGTGTATGTGTGTGTGTGTGTGTCAGGAAGCTCTGCTCTGCCTCACCAAGTCATTTGTGATTATCTTTCATGACTGTAAGTGATGGAGCAGTGAATAGTTTGTTCCCTGAAGGGCTGTATACGTGTGTGTGCGTGTGTGTGTGTGTGTGTGTGTGTGTGTGTGTGTGTGTCACTGTTCCCGATTATTATTCCCTTGCTCCTCTGGTGTTTGACCCATCTTTCTGTTCTGTCGAGGTTTCATGTGAGCTGGAATATAATTCTATTTCCATTGCTGTCACATTGTCATTGGTGTGTGTGTGTGTGTGTGTGTGTGTGTGTGTGAGAATAATGGGTGGTCTAGCAGTCACTGAGGTAATACACTATGGAAATATAAATCTCTGAGAGGAAGAGAGAGAGAACGTTTGGCATATGGAATGTATCTAAAGTTCTCAATAGAAATGTAATCGTCCGCACAAAAGAAAAATGCTTTCAAGCACAAATAACCCCAAACAAAGGCCTTAAAAATTCTAATCCAGTGAGAAAAATGTCAAAGGGAAGCCAAAGCCCTCCATTGTGGAAAAAATCTGAAGCAATCTGAATAATATAGTGAGATTTGTCCCTGAACTGTGAGTCAAAGACGTTAGAGCTGTGGTTAATTACCACTGAGGTTATGTGTCATCGTCCCAACACTAGAGGACACTAAAATGACAAAAATCCTCCATGAATGGAATAGCATGTTGGTGGCATCTTCAGAAAAAATAGACTTGTTACGTCAACTGAAACTAGTCCTAATTCATAACTGCAGTAAACACTCCACTGATGGGGAGACATCAGTGGAGTGTTGAACCTCCAACCTATTGTCCATAGATTTGATACTCTACATCCCCATAAGTGTATTGTCCATCAAGTCATACGGCATGTAACAGATGACAGCCAGACTCCATACCTTTCACTCACATCAAGTCTCAGCGTGTAACCTATAAACTAAAAATAAAATGATTGAAAGAAAGTCTCAAGTCTGATTTGATCATGCGTTAATCGAAGACATGAATGAAGTAAGATTATAACTTAATAGTTGTGTTATGTTGATGGTAGTTTTGTTTTTTTGGGGTCATGCACAAAGTAAATGTGTGTTTTTCTGTCTTTATGACTCCGGTGTTGGAATTGAAATGAATGGGACACGACGACGAAACAAGTATTCTCATACATGCGGAGGTAACGATGCACTATGAAATGTCCTCCAGCTGCGTGACACAGCTAGAGAAAGAAGGAAGTTGTGAAATGTGTCTGGATGTGTGAAGCCGGTGGCATGGATGAGAAAGAGTGTGGTGTATAAAATGGGACAACATTGCCCCCTACTGCTAAAAGGAGGGATGACACCATCACCACAACACTCAAAACAGCTTTTGTTTTCTAATCTAGATATATCAAAATGAAGAAGAGCTGCAGCTGTTTGAGTATATGCATAGAGGACCCCAGGCTTTGATTATCAAGTTTATTATATGTCATTAGTGAGTACAAATAATAGAATTTGGGTAAATGCCTCAGTCAGAAGGACTACAGGTCTACAATAGATTACAGACCTGTCCAGTATATCCTTGCAAACAACAACCTTGCATCGTTGACAGTTTCACCGTCTTACACAAAGACCCCTGTGGTAAGAAACACGGATATGATAGTGCTTAAAATCAACATAGCGACCCCAGAAACAGCAGCGTTGGGGAGGGTCCCGCTGTTGAAGGTCTTGTCGTGAACATGTGAGATGATGGAGAGGGCTCCTGCGTAGGCCTCCTCGCAGGCCGGCTGGATCTGCTCTTCTGGCAGCAAGTGGCTGAACTCACCTGAGGGAAGTGACACCAAAATGTTACAAAATAAAAGCCAGGGCATTTGGTTTGACTGATGGCTACGTAGAGTACACATCACCGACATCCAGCTCACCTTTGTCTCTCAGCTCAAAGGTGTAAGAGAACGGGATGCCAACGAGGCGAGCCCAGTCGGGGCTTGAGCCTGAGTTTGGATCTGAAGGTGAAAGAGGCATTTGCATCTCGTTCATTCACAAAGACACCAAAAGGTGATATGAGTCACAACCTGTGGCCTCACTGTGTACTTTCTTAAAAAAGGCTGCTAAGGATAAGAACGTCAGAGTGACTCGTCAAAGTGAGTGCAGATCAGATAATATGTAAATAACAGCTGTTCAGTACAGGAAAGAACAGGTCAGCGGAGTCTTACAGAGGATTTGTGGAGATGTTCCTACAGTGTAGCCCATTCCATGTAACTTCTTCATCTCTGCTGCTGCTGCCTCACCGACTGAAACCTGCACAGTAAACAAAAAGTTAGAACATGCAAGTTTGTTATTGCAAACCATGTATACTATAGGAGGTAAAAAAAAGTGATAATGCTAAGCTAACAATGTCAACTGGAGATTTAGCAGTGCTGCCGGTCTCTGTTCTTAATAGCTGTGTATCTTTTCTGGATCTGGAAAGGTCCACTGGATACGTCTGTGTAATGCAAAGCAAACACACACTGACCAGTTCATCATAGTTGGGTGCAGAGATCTCAGGGTGGCCGTATGGCAAGAGTATAAGTTGCCCAGCAGAGTGGATGGTGAGGAAACACAGAGTCCGGTTAATCATACTACCTAGATACAGACGGAATAAATGAACACATGTATAATACAAATAAATCAATAAACAAATAACAAGACAACAACATAATAATACACCTCATAATTAATAATAATAACAATAATAACAATGTATTATTTTCGTGTTTTGAATGTAATTTCAATGATTGATAGATAGTTACCAACAAAGTCCATCACAGCTTTAGCCTCTGGCTCTGACCCTGCTGATTTCCCACAGTAGGTGTTTGCACAACTGTCAAACGACACTCCAACCGCTGAGGACAGAAACAACATGAGGTTCATCGACTCAAAACCTGTGGCTGCCAGCTTTATGTTTAAAGCATGTTTTCTCATGTCAAAAATAATTAGAAAATGTGAATTCATAGAGAACGGCTTGTGAAAGCCAACACTTTAAGTGTCAGAGGGGCTTGAGCCGTGTCATGTGGACTGACACTTATATTTAGTTGTTCTCTGCGGCTTTCCAGTTTCACAGAGAAGAGTAGATTTCATGTCAGTAGCAAGTGAGTTGAATTGGGAGCATACATTGTTTGTCATAGCAGCCTGACATGACAACATACAGGACTGGAAATAACATTTTAGCCCATCAACTGTAAAATGTTTTGGTGATTCAAACATTTTTTTAAATATTTAAAAACCGGCTCATCCTGTTGGCCATATTTCTATTTGGGTTTATGTTTTGTGCGACCAATAAGTCAGAAATGTGTTAATCCTACATGTAGGAGCTTTGAGTCACTACTAGCTGGAAGGCTAACTAGTCATGTTGTGATTCTTAAAAGCATACAACTCACTGCCCCAGTTGGCATTAAAATTTCTGTTGAGGTCAACACCATGACAGCTGCTGCCTGGAGGAGGGGTCGAACGAGACTTCCTCCACAGACGAGTCTACGTGGAAACGACAGAGGCAAACATGTAAACGCAGACACAGAGCTCACATAGTTTGTTAGTTGGATTGTGCGTGGTGGATTAAATGTGAAGGCTCTCGGGTACAGATTAGTCACATCTCTGACACGAATCAACCGGATGTCATTCGATCACAACACTGACGACATTTTAAGTGAAACAACCAAACTGAAATAAAACCTGAGAAGCACTCACGCTGTCATTGGCCCTGGTGAATATGTATCCGTCCACATTGATCACAGGAGTAACGTAGACGTCAAGGTTCTGCAGCATCTGCTCCAGCTTCTTATTGGCTTTATAGGAGTGCACAATCTGAACAAACACTCACATGTCAGAATATATTGTACTAGCTGGGGTAGATATGTGCATCATTGACAATTATGACTGTAATAAGGGTACAAACCTCTTTGACAAACCACTGGCAGAAGGCAGGAGCGATCCACTCTCGGGCATGGATACCACAGTCCACCCATATAACCTTCTTCTCTCTGCCCTCTGGGTTTTCTAGTCCAAACTGGAGACACACAACACGACTCGTTTTAGGTGAATGGGTGACTTAAAGGGTCAGTGTGTAGTATATTCATGGGATCTATTAGCAGAAATGGAGTGCAATATTCATGGTTTTATTTTCATTAGTGTATAATGACCTGAAACTAAGAATCATTGTGTTTTCGGTCCACTTCATGGAGTCGGCCATGTGCTACAGTAGCCCAGAATGGACGAACCACTCACTGGCTCTAGAGAGAGCCTTTAGCGTTTTTATGTTACCTAAAGGCCACCGTAGTTCTCCAACATGCTTGTAAAAATGCTGTAATGTGAGCCACAAAATGTGCAAAACCGTGGTACATTTGCTTGTCTCAATCATAAAGAGTAAGCAATAAATAATAAATATTAATGACTAACGTTAATGTGCAGTTCGACACTGTGAAGGATTCAGCAGAGTTCCCACATGTCCACTGCTGTGTGTCATAGTGAGTGTGTTGAATACCTTCAGCAGGGTGATGTTTCTTCCCTCATAAGTGTGTCCGTAGACAGCAGAGGAGACCAGCTCTGGGTTCCCTCGCTCCACATCTTCCATCCACCTGTAAATCTGTATTGCAATTTAATCAGTGTGATAATTAATTCAGATAATGGTATTTATAGTTTTTTTTGGCCAACGTCCGTCTGTAATCCATAAAGATTAAAGTGCAAATCAGAAGGGAAGAAACTGGTGTGTGAGACAATAAACAGCAATATATATATATTGATTATAAAATATCCTGTCTTGTTATTTATTGACTCTGACCTCATCCATAGGGTGATATTTGGTGTAGTCATAACTCTGTGTTGATTCCAAAGCCTCCACTAAACTGTGAATTAAAGAGATAAATAGAAAAGCATTATGAATATGTATTTGCATTGATTAAAAAAAGTATATTAAAGTAAGCAGTACTTGGGTTAGACCTATAGGCATTACAAGGACAATGTCAGCTATAAATATGTAAATACAGTGACCCCGCAAATATATTCTCATCAACTCAACATAAAAAGGATGAATGCTACTAATTCAGCAAGTAGAACTATTTGCAATAGAAGTTGATCTGAATTTGGGGTAGTATCACTTTAGTTTCATACATGGCTGAATGTACAAACAACACAAAGTTAAATTTGCTCAGACAAAGCTGCTGAGTTTGAACTCTGACAATCGCCCTTTTTTCTTAATAAAGTCAACACAACAGCACAGCTCACCTGTCAGAAGTCTCTGAAGCGATGCTTAAAATCATCAGGAACAGACCAAGTGTCCGTGTGGTTTTCTCCATGTTGCTCGGTCTCACTTTGACTTCACCTCACTCAGTGGTGTTGCTGCTCCTCTCACTGTTGTACTTGCTCCTGCAGCACTAAGACTGATGTCAGTCTCTTCCGGTAGCAGTGGGATTTTCTTTTTTATCAGCCAGGTGACCTTGGATCTCAAAACATTTTTACAGGCTGACACAGACGTAAATACACGAGGGATCATGGCAGAGAACATTAATAATCAGTTATGTATTAACATTTATGAAGTGTCACTAAAATGATACAACAGCTGATACCACAAGGTAGTAGGCCGACTGCTCTCTTCTTTATACATGTTTGATCTTACCCCAGCATTCATCACACTTCTCCAGAAACGTTTAAACATGACTGTTTACAAAGCAGGCAGAACATGATAGTACAAGTCCAGACCTAAACTCCCGCTTGTGCACTGAGCTTGTGTTTTGCAGCGATAGAGCTAGAAAGCTATGCCTCTCCTGCTGCACTCTGCACCATCAGGAGTTGGTGAATAAATGTGCCATTCATCCCTGAGCTTGTCCTGTGTGTGTGTGTGTGTGTGTGTGTGTGTTGTTTTTGTTGTCCCTGTTTGGACTCACGTGGATAATGTAATTGACAGACGGCTCTCATTCAGGCCAGGCTGGGCACATGGGGAAGGAGGACGGACACAGCAAGTTAAGATCTTGCCTGGGTTTTTATTCTTCGATACTTGCAAATGAGGACATTTCAGGTTGGACATATTTTGATTTTGCGAGGATTGTAGAGGAATTCTGTGGGACGAGGCGTGATTGTTTTCGGATTTTTATCAGGGAGCATATATTTTGATTGTTGCACTTTTGGAAAAGGCCAATGGGAGCCAAGTTCACCATCTGCTGCTGTCAGTACTATCTGAAACACAACAGCAAGGAGAAGAATGCTATTTTGCGGTGAGACCAACACACGACAGACATGATGATTAAAACCCCAAAGCTCTGCCTTTAATCTTCATTTATTTGAATGAACTAGAACCTTTTAAACCAGTTATTCTCCTTCCTTCTCTCCAGTATGCGCACCACCACAGCTTCCAGACAGCCAGTGTTATCCAGTGAGTCCGGCGACAGCGGCACTGAAGAGGAGAGCCTTTTTGGCCCACGGCCTTCGAGGAGGCGCACTGAGGATCCGTGGGCCAACACAAACAGACCCTGTGACTCTCCCATCAGGAGAGGATCGGACAGAGAGTTACAGGCTTTTATCAGCATGAGAGACCAGGCTGACAAGGCTACAGAGGTGAGAGAAAGTGTTTTGTTGTTGTTGCATAAGAGCTGCAGAGCACAAGAGACAATGTGAGATGGAAATTAACACACATAAGTGCATAGACAAAAAGCAGCAGCGTATCTGCTCATTTCCTTTTGCTCTGTACAAAAAATTACAAAAATCAGACATTCCCAGAAAATTGTGATTAACGTGAAGCTAAGACTGCCTAGAAAAACTGCTTTCACCATCCACTCCGTCAACCAGTTTGATCTGTTCCGTTTGAAATGACATTCTTTGAAATGGACAGCCCTTTGGGGTGATATGATGTCAGGAAAATGGATGTTTTCAAAAAGTGTGAATAATAAATGTCAAGGAGGAGCTAAGAGTTTAGTATTGAGTGTACACACCCCTTATATCTGTACACACACACACACACACACACACACACACACACACACACACACTGTACACACAACACAATGATAGGATGCTGAAAATGCAGCAAAAGTCACAGTTTCACACTTTAAAGCCATTGATATATCAGTTTGATTGTTTGTGTCTAAGTTAAAATGACCCACTTGGTAGTTACAACAAGCTTTTCTACGGAAATGCTGTGAAAGTCCATGTTGCTGTCGACAATATGTGAATAGCTGTAATCCTTATAACAATCAGAAAAAAGTAACCGTACCCATCTGTGATCATCAATTGACTGTGTTTGAGTGAATCCTTAAATCTATTTTAGACTATTTTTGGTGCATATTTAGTTGATCTGTTTTACACATTTCGCAGTGATAAGTGGCAAATTCACTAAGCAGAGACCTGGTGCTTTACATCCGGACAAAGATGAAACAAAGGTTGACTGTATCTCCTGACTTTCAGAAATTCCACACATCTAGTACCAGGAAGTACTGCTGTAAATCATTCTACGTTTCCTTCATCTGTTCTACTGCAGATCTATAATAGTTATTCAATAAAGGGAGAGGACACAAACAGGTCAAAGAAGCTATTGACTCAATTTAATGTCGACTCACATCAGTAAATATACTGGAACTAAAATCCAAAACAACTTCATATTAAAAGTATCACATTAGGAGACGTTAACACACACACACACACACACACACACACACACAGAGTACATACGGTACATAGAGTATACAGAGAAGAGACATGCTACTTTATTCACTTACTCAATCAGTGGTCTAATACTTCTCACACAGTCACAGGTTGTTTATTACAGTTAGAATAGATTAGACGTACAGTAACTTTCTCTGTGTGTGTGTGTGTGTGTGTGTATCTTTGAAGGATCCCTGCAGTACATATAATACCTTCTTACTGTATTTCTCTACTGAGTGACTGTCATCTCTGAGCGGAGAGTTTGATCTTGGCGAACATGTGACTGGCAGTCTTGGTGTTGAGAATAGTCGGCTGCAGGACACAGTGGGCACATTGTGTTAATAAATGAGTTCCTCAATGGAGATGTAGGCCAACAGCCTGGCTGCCCATTCAAAGGGGATATTCAGCGAACCATCCTAATTATGTGAGACTGCTTTTAATATCAGGCCAAACAAACTGAAAATGGGTCTGTTACATTCAAAGGAAATTCAACACTGTGGGGAAAAACTAACCCAGGAAATAAAGTGGAATATCCCGGTCTGTAAACGGTCGGCTTTGTGTAATTTAAAGTTACAGATCAGATTATTTATCTTGTTCAGGAAGTAAAACAGTTTGGTTTCTGTATGTTTTGAACAAGGCAGACAGTTTTTAAATTTTACGTACCAGGTGTTTTCACTTCCTAATTTGGCCTCTTCTCAGGTTGAGAATGATAAAGCTCCCAACCAGAAGGTGGCTGAAAAGAATTGCTTAGTTTATCCAAACTATTGTATGATATATTATGTGTGTTTGCTTACAGGAATGGGAGAAGCTGAACTATGACATACACTCGTTACGCTACGCCAGACGAGAAGTCAGATCTCGATGGAAGAAAATCCTGCTGCAGCTAGGTGAGACACGCTGATGTTATTCTGTGCGGGTAATATTTAGTCAAGTCCAATCTGCTATATTGAGTTGTGTTCTGTCATGTGATCTCCCCTTCATCTCTCGGCAGGTTATCAGTGTGAGGTGGATGCCTTGCTGTGTGTGAACAAACAGAGCCGGTTCAGTCGAGATCTGGACCAACTTAACAAAGCGAACGAACTGTTGAAACAGCTGCTGGACCGCACCTCTCTGTTTCCTTCAGAAACTGAACACCAGAGCAAATACCTCTGTGTCATGGTACACACACACACACACACACACACACACACACACACACACACACACACACACACTTTCACAACTTAGTTTGTTTGTTTCTCTTACTTTCCTGTCGTCCTCTTCATCTTCCCGGTCCTCTGTTGTTATATCTCTCTTCCTCCAATCTCACCTGTTTCATTCTTACCGTGCTCCTCATCCGTCTTCGTCTTTCTCTCAGGACCGCCTGGTGTCACTGGACAGTGCTGAGGACTTTGTCCGACTGGCTAAAGAAAAATATCCCAAGCAAAGCAGGCTGAGAGACAGTGACAGAAAAAAAGATGAATTGAAAGCTGGGAGAGAGGGTGAAGAAAAATGTTAAAATGTTGAAACACTTTTTTTTTTTTTTTTACTACTCTCTAACATTCATTGATTTGTAGGAAAATGTAATTCTAATGCCAAATTAAACCTTCTCTTTGATGTGTCCTGTTGATTGAACTATTCCACTGTGTTTTGGTTATTTGGACCATTACAATTCATAATGCTGTATAAAGATAACGTGTTTTTAATTCATACATTATCTTTTTAAAGTAGAAGTTTCACTCTTCCAGCATTTCTGTTGCACTGGTGCGCTGCTGCTCAGCTGGGGAGGATTGCCTAACGAATAAGCAATATGGTTAAAACCTATACTGTTTTTGGCTCAGTCCAGCACTGTGTTACCTGCTCCATCCAAAAGGTGGCAGCATATACTTTGATCCTGATCCAGTGGGTCAAACTGGGGAAAAAATAATAACAAGGAATTTAGTTGGAAATGTCTGTATCACAGATGGGGTCAAGTTTTATCAAGTTGAATATATTTTGCATTCACTGTTGAAATGATTATGTGTAATGAGGAGGAATTTAGTTACCCAGCACATAAAACAGACGGACATAAGAATATGTTGCGCAATGTCAGCGATGAAGCCTATATGGAAAAGGAATCTTACCTCTCACACTTCCCTTTCTTCAACATTGGAGCAGAATGCAGATGATAACGTCTCATCTTGGCTTTCATTCAAAACCATTTTTTGAATTCTCAACCACACACACGCACACACACACACACACATTTGGGACACTGTGCTCTCTTCAGGTTCAAAGACTGTGTGACAGTCTTCAGGCAGTTGATGATTGTGGTATGTCGTACACACATTCATGCCTGCGCGCACACATGCAGACAGAAAGAGAGAGTTTACTCTGACCCAGATATTGTTCTCCCCCAGGCCCCTTCCCCAAGTTAGGGAAACAGATGTGGAGCTAAAGGGGGGGGGGCGGAGGGGGGGATTGGGGGAGGGGAGCAGTACGGGAGGCAGACCAATGGTCTGGCAGATCTGAAAGCCATTGTGCTGCTTGCACCTTTTTCTCATTATACTACTGCAAGTGTGTGTGTGTGTGTGTGTGCATTTCAGATCGAGTAATGCTGACATCATTCTTCAGACTTTCTGAATTTCAATGAAAGTCTGAAATTCTACATTACAAAAGGGACTAGGCGAGACAGATCAATGCTCTTATGTTAATGGAACTGATATACGACGGAAGAAAGAAGGGAATGATTAAGAGGATGTTTAGAGACAAATACTAGATTGTACCACACTGTTTGCTGTGTAACAGGTCATGTGTGTTAAAAGGTTCAAATATCACGATAGGAAACACTGATCATGCATCACTGTGTGTGTGTGTGTGTGTGTGTGTGTGTGTGTGTGTGCGACACACTGCCAAAGCCCAGTAAGTGGTCAGGGAGTACAGTGCATTACGATAACACAGACTCACACAGACGATGGTCACAGCTAATGGTTTATATTGAGTCTCTAGTGGGGCGTTGTCCACACACACACACACACACACACACACACACACACACACAAGCAGCGTAAGTGGTGAGCCATGGTTTTCTCGTCATAGATTTAGATAATAATCACAGTGAAGTTGAATCTTAATAAACTGTTTTCCATCTTGTTTTTATTCCTTATTTCCATTTTAACTCTTTAGTGAAATTCATAGTTTAACAATTTGATATTAACGGTTATTGGCACTCTTGCCGAGGGTTAGATGAGAAGATCGGGAAACAGCTATAGCTTGGCTCTGTCAACAGTAACAAAATCCACCCAGCAGCACTCCTCACATTCACAAGTTAACACATTGCATCTCATTTGTTCATGCTTGCAGAAACTGAAGTGTAAGAATTAAAAGTGTTGTGGCAGGTTATTTTTTGAGGTTGCCAAACAAACAGTGGAGACTTCAAGAACTAACCGCACCCGGCAAAGAAATAGGTAGGGCGTCCGATTTTGCTGCATTTGGAAAGAGCAAGGCTAGCAGTTTCCTCCTGATTTTGGTCTTCTTGCAAAAACTAAATGGGCTGCTGGCTTCAGGTGAGTAAATAAGAATGTGATCAGCTGGCCTGGGTCATTTTATAGCAAATCAGATTCTGTGATAAAAGTGTCATCATTTATGGCTTTGTTGTTTCTTTCTTTTTTCTTTCTCAAATTCTTTTCTCATGAGCATTTCTTTTTCATGTGTCAATACTAAACAACGCAGACGTGGCCCTGAGTGTATGCTGTGCTTCAATGAATACTCACAACAGACAGTTTATAATGCAGACCCATTACTCATGAGGTCAGGACCTTCATGTTTATGTCCAGATACAAATCACATTACCGCAGTGACTAATGGTTTACTGAGTTAAATATCAAAGTTTGTCATGATGAACTTTGGTGTGCCTTTTGAACAGTTGACTCAAACAACCCAAAGAAGCAAATCCGCTGATTGGACTAACCCATATCAAATAAACATTTGTCATAACAGTGACTACATGTATTTCCATTCATCCACTTGGAGACTAAACATGGTTATAAACAGTTCTATGTATCACTTATTAACACCTATTAGGTCTGCACAAACAGGAACCTCTCAACGTGCACTTTTGGTGCTGTGCAATTTTGGGTGGTTGGTCCACTTTGATCCAGAACTGAAATATCTTGACATATATTCCGGTCAAAATTTTCCAAGCCAGTACTTTGATTTATGTCCGCCTTAGCTGTGCTTTGTTTAGTGCAAATTAACAGATGCATGCTAACACACTAAAGTAAGGCTACATACACACTAATACGTTTCTGTTTTAAAACAGGGTTTTAAAATGAAGACGCTCTACGTCCACACGGGCCTTACGGCACTGTTTTTTGATTTCCGTCCACACTAACATGCCTGGAAACGAATATCCCATGACTGAAAGGACGTGCTTGATACTTAATTAAGATCTTTCTCTACAATCTTCCTCTTTATACTCAAATAGATAAATTCCGTAGAAAAAAAAACTTAGTAACAAGGCCACAGGTCTTGGTCTGTACCTCTCTCACACACACATCATATTTACTTTAAAATAAGCACTTGCAGATTAAAGTTTTACTAGATCGTGGTGCTACATTTGGTCAACACACTCTCACTCGTTTCCAGTCGGTTTTGTTGTCTGTTCTCAGACTCGTAGCTCTGCCGGGTGGCTGTAGGTCCATGTCGCACTGGACAGCAGTTATGCTTTTGTTCGTTTACAGTTATTTTGTTAACTTCCCAATAGTTGTGCAGACCAAAACAAGCATTGATAAGAAAAGGAAAGTCTTGCGTTTTGTGTCCATCGCCTTCTTCAAAGCTGTAAACCGTGACTTCATACGTCCACTCCGTAGGGCTGGACACGCCGCTCGCAAATCACTCCAATGACAACTTGCTTCCTCCGCATGTAGGCATTAGTAGCATTATAAAATGCAAATTAAATGTTTTAAATGGAAGTGTAGTAGTGTGGGTGTAGCCTAAGAAGGTAACCAAAACCTGCCTACATTAGCATTTAGCTCAAAAGCACTTCTGTGCCAAAGTACAACCTCAAAGAGCGGCTAGCATGGCTGTGGACTGAGTCTTGTTTCAGGCTAGCTCTTGCTTGAGACAAAGAAAGGATTATAGTTTTTGTTGTTTGGTTTTGTCCAAGATACGAGATGTTTTTATGACTCTCAGGCTGCAAACACAGTCTTAAAACAAAAACGATCTCCGTCCACACGGGCGTTTCGGCATCGTTTTCGACCTGATCTACGTCCAGACGAGTAAGGTTTGGTCACCTTTAGTTTTACTCGACCAGGAAATATGCATTTCCAAATGTCCCATTTTAACCCCTCTAAAAGCCTCCACTGTTTATCTCAGAGAGCAATTTATGATAAGACAGTGATGACAGCAGTGTTACACCCATACTCACAAACATTAACAGACATTTACATGTATGAACACACACACACACTCAGTAATTTGTAACGGATGTTTAGAGAACCAGGCCATAGTTTGCTGACCTCTGTGACTCCCAACAGAAGGTGAGAGGTCAAGAGTATGCTCCGGAAAGGCAACATTATTAATTTGCTTTCAAGTCTAATCCTCCCAACTGCTTTTTTAATATTATACGTGCAGCTTTAGATTTGAAGATGTAGTCACTTTCATTCTCAGTTTCTTGGTTCAGGCAGAAAATAATGCAGAACACACACATGCGCTCACACACAGCACAGATGGGTTGAGCAAGCTGTTGGGCAGGGCAGGGTGTGTTCTACAGCATGGCCGCACTGCATGCTTACATATTGTTACTGTAATTGTTAACTGCATGGTCTTGGGCCTCGGGACTCAAAAGAAGGATCACCGCATAATGGGTCAGAAAAATAGATAGTGATAGAGAAACATCCTTTGTAAGTATTTATGTAAAAAACTGTGGAGGTGGGCAAAAAGACAACAAAAAAAACAGGACAGGCTAAGAAAAAAGAGGGTTAAAGAAAGAAAATGGCAGTGAGTAAAGATTATTTTTCTCATCCTCATCTCCCCCTCGGCCCTCTTTTCAAGGAAAAGTCAGACAGTGACTCACTCACTCCCCCATATGATCACCTGGCTGGGTTTTCTGTCAACACTCACCTGGTGTTCACTCAAAGGTGCCCGACCTGCAGCCGTAACCACAAAACAGCCCCGCGCTCAAACCCACTCACGTTCACCGTTCCTTCGCCATGAATCAGAGGCTGGATCAGCACTTTGTCCTGATGGCGTATAGACGGCATCCATACTGCCTGAAGAAGAGAGCAGCCTCCTTTTGTTGTAACAGACAGACGGTGGATGATGTCATGTAACGATGGTGCAGATTGAAGAGCGGCTCTGCTTTTGATATACAAAGACACACACACACAGGTATACCCACTGCACAGCATAAACATGTGGTGTTCGTACCTTAATATAGTCAGTCCAGTCCAAGTGTTTAAGACATCACCACCAGGCGTGTGTGTGTGTATGTGTGTTTAATACCACATAGGAATGCATGTCCCACAGCTGGGAGGTCAATCTTACAAGGCGGAGTGTCCCCTCACAGAAATAGAAGCAGTTCTGGAATACTAATAGGATTCTAATTCCATGAATATATATACCACAGGATTGGTCAGACCAGAGCGCTGACTTCATATTCTATGTTTGTCTCTTCAGTTTCCATCAAGTCATTTGTTTTTCTAATAACGATGTATTGAATTCGACGAGTTGAATGAAGCCGCGTAAGGGCGTCAAGTACGGTAAGATATAAACAAGACATCCTGGGCTCAGATTGAGCCGGAAGAAAGATAAACAAAATACTTCATGAAGACTTGCTGCAGAGAAATGATACATTTCAAACACAACGTGTATTTTCATTTAAATGTGTCGCCAAGGATATTTGAAGATTATAACTTTAAAGGCTAATTTTCTTAGGGCACTTTCACACCTGTAGTTTGTTTCTCCAAATCAGTTGATGACTTTAGAAACATTGCTATGCAAATTAACATGGAACAACTGCAGAGTTGGCATTTTGCTCGTAACCGTGATAATAATCTGAGCAATATACCAGGCAAAACTTTACCAGCAGAATAACGAGACCTTGGCTCATTCTCCGGCTGGCTACTACTGCTACTACT